CAGGTCAGGACTCCAGAGATGTTTGCCGAGTACAAGGGTGCCACTACAGAGTTCCTAGCTTATAACATGGCACAGAGGATCAGGCATAGCACACCACAAGCACCTACTCGGCCCAGTCGCTGTCCAGATGTTCTAAAGTCAGTAGCTCAGCAGGACGAGATTATCAGAGGCATAGCCGCTACTGAGGAGGAGCAGCTTGAGGCACAGCAGGAGGTGAGCGAGTACAGTGACAGCTCTGACGACGACTACCAGCCTATTCCTCAGATGCCTCCACGCAGACACGATGCAGAGGCCGGCAGTTCTAGCTCAGCACCACCTGCACCTCAGACGGACCCCGCTCTTATTGCCATACTTGAGCGGATGCAGCAGGACCAGGCTCGCCAGGCACAGGAGACAGCTGCCAACTTTGCACAGTTCCAGGCTCGTCAGGACGAGTTTCAGAGGCAGCAGCAGGTACTCCAGCAGCAGCAGCAGCAGATGCACCAGCAGCAGATCCTATTGCAGCAGCAGCTTATGGGCTTCATGCAGCATGTTGTGACAGCACTTGGGGCTCCACAGCCACAGCCTTCACCCCAGCTTGGTCAGCCTTCTACCACTTCAACGACTCCAGCAGTACAACCCAGTGGGTTTCAGAGTCAGGGACAGCCTCCAGTGCAGTTTGCTTCGCCACCAGTTCAGGTGTCCCAGTGGTTGTCCTCACCAGTGGTAGCCCCGCAGTTCACTCCATATCACACGGGCTTCTCACCGGAGCAGTCACCCTCGCTTTTTGTGCCTGACATGTCAGTCTCCAAGAGTCTTGGAGCATCCTTCAGCGAGTTGACCGGCATGCCTACACCGCCTCATATGCATGCCGCCGGTCCTTCTACAGCAGCTCCAGTCGTTGTGACTACTCAGAGGCTCCCTTCGTCTGTCGCCTCTTCTGATCCTACGACAGACGTACCAGCTGCATCACAGGCCGCACTTGCCCCAGCTCAGACCCAGACCGCTTCAGCGACACTTCCTGCTTCAGAGGGTCAGTCAGTACAGAGCTCAGGGTCAGATAATGATGGCGCTCAGTTTCATCTTGCTCCACGTACTTCAGCGCCCGACTCGTCGGCTGCAGCCCCGCCAACCGACCCTTAGGTTTTGGTGTTTGACGCCAAAGGGGGAGAGGGTTCGAGTATGTAGACTCAGGGGGAGCGACTTTTAGGGGGAGCTTGTTACCTAGTATGAGCTTTTTATATACATTTGGAGTTTTATTTGTGTGATACACTATTTCTATTATGCATTCGTGTGTTACTTTCATGCATACTATTATATCTATGTGATAGTGTTATCTACGTGGTTGTGATATATGACATGTGTGCTCTCTACTTTATATTATTTATATGTCATATCACTTTTGTTATGCTCATTTGCCTTTGCTTCCGCGTTTATGCTCCGATGCAAATGAGTTTTGTTTCTTGTACTCATGCTTAGCTCAGATCCTTTGAGTACATTGAGTTGGCTTGGATCATATAAGCTTGCCTAACACTTTTGTTCTTATCGACAAAAGCTTATATGAACCAAGCCCGTCAAAAACCTCACTCTTTCACATTCTCGAGGTGGTATTGTCATCAATCACCAAAAAGGGGGAGATTGAAAGCATCTAGGCCCCTAGTTGGGTTTCGGTGATTAATGACAATACAAGATTACTATGACTAACGTGTGTTTTGCAGAGGCAAGTAAGTTAGGTCATGGTAATAGAGATCAATTGGGCAATCAAAGTTGTCATGCCCCTACGATGGAAATCGTTTCGGTTTTTAAAGGATGGACGACAAGGTTAAGGATGACTAGTTCTAAGTGTTGATTGGAGTTGGAGAGACACTTAGAGTAATTTTAGACTTTGTTTTTCTTTTGGCCGTACTATTAAGGGGGTATGGACGGGTAGCTTGACCTAGTTAAGTCTAGTGAGTTAGGTGTGGTGCACACTTGTTAAAACTAGCTCTAGGTAGCTCCTACGAATGCCTAAGATCCTTTGGAGCAAACTTCATTCACATATGATCGAGAGTTGGAAGTGAATGGAGGGTCAAATGCTGACCGGACGCTGGCCCCGGTGCGACCGAACGTTGGCTGTAGGGTCCGGTCAGTTCATTGGATCTGTTGTCTGCGTTCGGTGTGACCGGACGCTGGAGAGGTCGAGTGACCGGACACTGAAAGGCAGCGTCCGGTCGACTCCAGTAAGGTTCTAGAGAAGGAAATCTGCGACCGGACGCGTCCGGTCAGTTCTGACCGGACCCTGAGGGTTCTGCGTCCGGTCGAGTCCAGTAAGGTTCCAGTAAGGGTTTTATGCGACCGGACGCGTCCGGTCAGTGCTGATCGGACCCTGCCAGCGTCCGGTCAACTCTTTTTCACTGGTTCGCGGGTTGAACTAACCAGAGCGTCCGGTCAGTACGACCGGAGCGTCCGATCACCCCGTAGAAGCTCATAACGGTTCGTTTTTCAGGCTGCCTTATAAATAGAAGCTCCACTCGTGTGTGGAGTGGCTTTTGCTCATTCCAACAGCTGAGAAACACGTTTGTGAGTGCCAAGAAGAGCAAGGTCCTAGTGAGGTGATTGAGATTTGAGAATCCAAGAGAGTAGCCTCATTAGTGAATCAAGAGTAGTCAAGTGTGCATCCATCTTCTCATTAGGCTTCGCGTGGTCAAGTGAGAGTTCGTGCTTGTTACTCTTGGTGATCGCCATCACCTAGACGGTTTGGTGGTGATTGGGAGCTTGGTGATCACCTGGTGGAGACTGTGGGTGACCCGGCTCAAGTTGTGAGCGGCTTTGGGTGATTCGCCGCGACGGAGTGTCGAAGAATCAACCCGTAGAGAGCACTTGATCCTTGCGCGGATCAAGGGGGAGCTACACCCTTGCGCGGGTGCTCCAACGAGGACTAGTGGAGAGTGGCGACTCTCCGATACCTCGGCAAAACATCGCCGTGTTCCTCTCTCTCTCTCCATTTACTTTGAGCATTTATTTTGAGTATTTATTTTGAGCAATTCAATACTTGTCTTTACATTCATAGAATTGCCATGCTAGAGTAAATTTGGAACATAGGTTGAAAGTCCGTTGGACGATTAGTTTGATAGAAACATTTTTCTAGGCACAAGGGATTAATTGGGCTATCCGTAGAATTTGATTATTGAAAGAAAATTTAGAATTAGCCCAATTCACCCCCCCTCTTGGGTATCTTGATCCTTTCATCGCTCATGCTCCATGGATCTCACGGGGTGGGGGAGAGGGCCACCGGATCTGCGGCATTAGGGGCTCCCGATGGGTGAAGACGTCGGGGTGGGGGGAGGGGTGCCACCGGGGTGAGGGAAGGAGCCGGGGTGGGGGGAGGAGGATGGTGGGGGGGGGGGGCGCAGCAGGCCGGGTGGGCAAGCGAGAAAGAGAGCAGAGCAGCCAGGAAGCATGCGAGAGAGGAGCTCGTTAGGCAGGCGGCCCGTGCAGAGCGAGACTTGACGGCCAGGAGTTGACTTTGCTTTTTTATTTAGGCGATAGGCACGTGCAGCCAGTGGCGAAGCTAGAGTAAACTAGAGGGGGTGCGCTTACCTCGTAGATTCGTGAACTTAATCCGCAACCATGGCGAAAATTTAATACTATTCACTGGTATTTGGATTTTCATGGGTGCATTGGCAACCACAACAGAGTAACTAACTTTGTAACTGCGTGCGATAGTAAGATAAAGTTGTTGTGAATGTCACGCCACACGTCCGGCGGGGAGTCGCTAGCGTCAGACGTCTGCAGCATTACCTATTCAGTATCCTCGTGAACTCGTCAGTTCGTCGATGGTCATGCCTCGAAATTGCAGTCCAATCAGAGCGGCGCCGTCTCTAGTCGAGACCCTCCGCCGCCGAAAGGTCGTGCTGCTGCAACGTCGCCGTGGATGCGTCCGACTGAACCTGCGGAAACAACAACGCGCAGGTCGCAGTCCGACGGGTACGTGGGACGATTACGCAAATGTTTTGGGCCTCTCACCTCCTGTGGCTCTAGGCTGTGGCCTCCGCCGACAGGCTCATATAGAGTCATATGCCTTCCGAGGAAGTTTGCGGCCTGGTTTTCGCTTCGCCTTCACTCATGGCGGGGAGCTTCTCGTCCGCGCTGCTGCTCCTGCTCAACTTGGCGGGCGTGTTGCTCGCCCCGCCCGCTCTTCCTTCCGGCCCGGCATCCGTGGGCACCAGCGCCAGCGCCAGCGCCGACGGCGGCGGGGACGACGGGGAAGTCGACTTCTTCTTCTTCCCGTTCCTGGTCCTCTACAAGAGCGGCCGCGTGCAGCGCTTCATGGGCACGGACACCGTGCCGGCCTCCACGGACCCGGCCACCGGCGTCGCCTCGAGGGACGTCGTCGTCGACGCCGCCGCGGGCCTCGCCGTGCGCCTCTACCTGCCTCCTAGCCTCGCCACCAACCGCACGGGCACGGCAGGGACGGACGACGACGGTGGCGGTGGTGGAAGCGGAAGCAACAGGCTGCCGCTCCTCGTGTTCTACCACGGCGGCGCCTTCGTCACGGAGTCGGCCTTCTCGCCGACGTACCACCGGTACCTGAACGCGCTGGTGTCCAGGGCCCGGGTGCTCGTCGTGTCCGTCGAGTACCACCTCGCGCCCGAGCACCGCCTCCCGACGGCGTACGACGACGCGTGGGCGGCGCTCCGGTGGGCGCTCGCCAACGCGCGGGCTGGGACCGGGACGACCGGGACGGACCCCTGGCTGTCGCGCCACGCCGACCCGGCGCGGCTGTTCCTGGCCGGCGACAGCGCCGGCGGTAACATCGCGCACTACGTGGCGCTGCACGCGGGGCGGAGGGGCCTGGGCGACGGCGGCGCCGCCGCCACGACCATCCGGGGCCTCGCGCTGCTCGACCCCCACTTCTGGGGAAGCGCCCCGTGCCGTCGGAGACCACCGACGAGGACACGCGGCGGTGGCGCGAGCGCACGTGGAGCTTCGTGTGCGGCGGCCGCTACGGGATCGATGACCCGGTGATCAACCCGGTGGCCATGCCGCGGGAGGAGTGGCGCCGGCTCCCCTGCGCGCGCGTGCTGGTCACCGTGGCGGGGCTGGACATGCTCAGCGCCAGGGGCCGTGCGTACGTCCACGCACTCAGGGCCAGCGGTTGGCCCGGCGAGGCGGAACTGTACGAGACGCCCGGCGAGTATCACGTCTACTTCCTTAACAAGCCCGACAGCGAGAAGGCGGCGAAGGAGATGGAGGTTCTAGTGAACTTCATCAATGGCGATCAAGTGAGCAACACAGCTTCAAGAATGGACGCCTGATCGATGCTGCTTATTTGTTAGATGTTAAGTATCACGGGTGTCACTTGGCTATCTTGTAAAATTCGGTCGGATTAGTGCATCAATCTATGTAATGAAATGTCTGGTCCTAACAAACTTTGAAGCCTAACGAGAATCTCAGTAATTCCATGCATAGTAAAACCTCATGTTCAGAAGCAGAATATTCCTTGATCATCCATTACCTAAACAGCTTCTTCTTCCACTATGCTCAGATTTTTTGCACTATAAAAATAACGGAGATGTGAAACTCTGACGCTCGCTACAGTTGACTCGGTCACTCCAGAACAAGAGTAACCAGCTGTTCATGACCCAACAATTGCACTACAAGCTAAATTGTTACAACGGACAAACCAAGCCTGCATTTTTGTCATTTTAGGCGCGCTATGGATAGAACAAACCGGCCTGCTTTGAAATTTTCGTATTAGCAACGAGAAACGGCACCCTATTTACATGGTGTATAATAGTTGCTCTTGGATCAGAAAACTGTCAGTGACCAAGACGATGTACAGATGCAGAGCAACAATTGGCTACACGATAAAATTAGTCCCACGCCGTGCAAAATTGCAGTGCATAGTGTAATCACCATAATAATAATAATCTAATGAACGGCCAAGCGCTGGAGATGATCCATGAAGACCTGGAAGCTCACATCATCTGTGAATATGACATCCCCTCCTGGTGCTGGAGGATTGTCATACGAGACCGATGGATTAAGCTTTGCCAGCAAAAATCGAGCCTGCAATTTTCAAAAGAAAGTAAATTCAATACAAATGGCATTCCTTCCATCCTCTTTTATTTTATGTTAATGTATAGAACTTTGTCTTATTAGAACTTAATAAAGTCAAAGTTTATATAACTTGGTAGTTTCCATTGCCCAATAATTTGGTGGTTTTGAAATGTCTGGCTATTTGATGAAGGCTGACCACATGGATTTCAACAAGAAAAAAAGAACACAAGGAACATTCTTTTGGGTTCCCAGCTAATCAATGACCCATGAGCATCCCCAGATATGCTGATCAGCTATTCGGCCTACAATGCAATTTTCAACTGAAACTTGGGTCACTAGTTAAAATTGAAAGTATGGTGAATTTGTGAACCTTATCCAGTAGAGAGAACAAATGTTTGCAATTGCAATAAATAGATACACACAAAGAAATTTCCTGAGGGAAAATGCAGTGTGTTGAAATAATCTAACAAAGAACAAACAAGAATAGAATATAAAAGAAATAACCTGAGAACCATATTGATCACACACGACCAATCGCGGCACAGGAAAGCGTTCCTTGATTATTGCATCAGCTTCCTCCTGTGGAGCCTGCAACAACTGGGCAAATGACTGGACACCACACAAGGTTAGTTGTCGGTTTGGTAATGTAGCACATCAGGATGTATATTGTACATAATGAAGCCCACTGTTCGTAGATAGGCCTAACAGTCTCATGTCCAAAGGCTATGAAACCACAGAATAGTAAGCTTATTTTTCTTAACATAAGAAGACCGTAAGACTTGCAAAACATTTTGATGTCAAGGCACACTGTTAAAGAGTTTAAAAATCAAGCATGGATACAGTTATTTGTAGCCATATGTGCAAATGCATAGAATAAAAGCTACATGAAGCTCAATAGACCAAATCTAATATATAAGGTTTTGGTTGACAATATATTACCTCATGGCCTTCTTGATATTGGTAACCAGCCTTTCGCCACTGTGCAATTGTTATCCCATGGAATATGACAACAGTAAAATAAGAATCCAACAAAAGGATCCTATCAGCTGCAATTGCAGTTACATCCAACAGAACTGGCTCTGGACCCGATTGGAATGAATAAGATATGAGTGATGGCTGGATCATCACAACTGCATTTGATACATTCTCTGTGTTTAACATCATTGTGAAATATGCAGTTTCATCGGGACTGTTGTTAGAAACCTGCATGGGAAGTAAAAATAATCAGTGCACCGAGAAGTGTGTTTTGCATGATCTGTTGATCAGAACTGCTCAATAAATGAGGCAAAAAGCTTTACCTGAACAAACTGAGATCGCGTCTCAAATTAAACATGAACTGGGGAAATATGGACAGACGAGGGGATAAACTGAAGGATGAGGGTGTTTCTTTGTGATAGTCTCCAAATTTCGAACATAAACTAATCAATGCTCGATCAAGCCACCTTATCGGGTCAAAATCAGCCTGAAAGAAGCATGAAGGTTATACTACCAGTATATTAAGGCTCCGAAATGGAAATATTAACTACAGTAAGCTGGCAACATTTTATTACTGCACTATATTCATCATACTGTCATACCATTTTCTCAAGTGAAATAAGTTCATCTATCATGTATGTGCTAATGGTAAAATAATTTAATACATGTCGTCGAGTACCTCAGCTTCCATCTTAAATGAGACCAAGCGTGCCATGACTGCAGCAGCTGCCTCTTGATCAAAGCCATCTATTAGTTCCTACATGAGAAAAAAAAGGTGATACCCGTCGACAAATTAAGCAGAAAATGATTGTGATCACCAAAGTAAAGAAAGTTAGACTAAAACTTGCCTGCACACCACCAGAACCAGCAACCCATCTTCTAGAAAGTGTAGTAGCTCGTAATCTCATCTGCCCCTCATGATGCTGGTAACTGCATGCAATGCAACACCTCAAGTCAGTCACATACCATTCTTTGACTGTATTGGCTTGTTTTGCCTAAAAATGAAGGGGCACAGACAGATCCCCTACTAGGTTAAGAATTGGAAGTAGAACTGATTGCTTGCTGATTGACCAACACCAACCGAATCTGGTCCATCCTTCTTTGCAATATCAAATACTAAACAGAGTGATGTTTTCCTGTCTAGACCACACATCTTCCATGCGTTAGTGTTTCCCTGACCTACAACTGTATCTGAGGATAGAGGACTTTTCTGCACATAAAAAGATCAGATGTAGAGTGTTATTCCAAAAAAAAATGACAACATGTAACTGATACACACTATACCTTCTCCAGGGAAGTACAAGGTCCAATAATTCCTTGGATTTTGACATCCTTTGAGCAGTTAATCTCAAAGATACCACTGCAAATATAATTTTATACACGTCAATCAGAACACTCAAATTATTGATGGGCTAAGACATGTTATTAATTACTATAAAGAGTATTTACTTGAATGATAAATCAAGATCATTGTCACTTGACTGAAAGAAGCGTCGAAGTGAGTCTTTAAAAACAGAATGACCAAAACTTTCTGCAAGCACAACTATTCCACCAGTTCTCTCCACAGCAACCTTCATCTCAGCAACACCAACCTAAGAGAGAATATAAACAAGAATTTTAATTCAAAAGCAGCCTACGCACCTTAAACTGACACACAACTGAGATTTTACTAACTACTGGTAGTTTGTTCATTACCCTATTTCAAATGACAAATCATTTGGCTATTTTTGTCGCAGAAACTAGCAACTACTATTATACAAAGGACAAATCTTTATCAACAAATTTAGCAACTAATTACTTGGTAGCTGAATGTTCAAACCAATTACAACATCAGAAAAAAATATGTAAGTTACTTCACCAAATTGGTTGAAGCATTGAGTTCATATGCCAGTATGCACATTTACACGAGCCTAAAGTTTCTGTTGATTGGTCATTATATTCATATAGTGGCTTGGTGAGACAAAAAAATGCTTGTGCAATATAAGTCCGTAAATTATTGCATATCAATTTTTCTTTAATTTCTAACTAAACAACCAAAACCAAGCAAACAAAACTAAATTTTCATAAAAATTTAAAAAGAACAGAAAAGAAGGCAACAAACCTGGTCAAGCGCACAAGCAAATAAATCAAGTACATGGCCTTGATTCACAAGCTGCTTAGAGATATCCTCGTAGAATTTAACAGCTTTGTTATAAAGTGGAGCTGAACCTTTATTGAGGTCTTTGTGCGAGCGAATTGGTTCTGATAGGGACTTGGATACGATCTGAAATTTGGAAAATAATATCATTATAGTACATTAGAAAGCATAAGAGCAAGAAATGAGTGATTGCAATTTTTTAAGAAAAGCCATGATATTTGAGACAATCAGACTCTCAATGATAAACAATATTCAAGGGGGAATTAATGTCATGTACATGCTCGTGCCTACATTTCCCTGATGGCATATCACTAATTTGCATGTAGTGAGTTATAGAAGTGAAAAGAAAGAAAGCTAAAATGGTATTCAACTTTATTTGGAAACAAACCGTGCTATATTGATCAAATATAAGCAGAATAGACAAAACTGGTTTGTCTGATTTTCATATTGCATATAAAATTGGGAATTGGAGAGGTTTATTATACTTCCATTACAGATAAGAAGCACAAAACTATATCCAGAACAGCAGAACATAGATCAAGGTACCAAATTCACAAAATTTCCATCAAATGAATCTGAACTCTAAATATGCACAGCCCTATAACAGCGTAGTTGTAATAAAGTTTCTTAAAATTAATCCAGTCAATTTGGGTCATTGCATGAGGTTTTCATACAACTAGACTAGTCATGTAGGGCCAAACCCAATCTGTTAGCCAGTACCAATCCAATTGGGATATGGTGTTACAAGTAGTTCCACAGCATATTAAACGGAAAAGAAAAAACACATTATTACTTACAAAAGGAGAGTAGAGATAGGTTTTGTAACTGTAGGAGAATGATTATAAACACCACCAACTATAGAAAATGCAACTGCTACTGTTACACGCCAGCAGTATCACAGGTACCATAGCAGTAGCAGCAGGCCTGTGTGGCAAGGTCACAAGGATTTGGAAGACACCTTTTTCATGGTTAAGATTATAGCTTTCCTGTTGCCAAAAAGATTATAGCTTTTCCATATTCCATAATAGCTAATGAGTGTCCTAGGATACCTGCTTGGTATCTTATCTATATTATAGAATGATTTATCAGTATCTGTTAGATGAGCCTCTATACAAGGAATCCTATGCCACTGTGTGATTAAGCAAGAAGAAACAGTGATTCCAATCTTAGCTTTCTCCCTTCCCCCTGGGAGTGCCAACATGACCTGGCCATCCTAACATCTACATTTATAGCATCAGTGTAGATAAAGAAAATGGGAATGAAGCTAAAGAACATGTTAAGAAAAGGAACTGACTTACAGAACCAAGTCCCTCTGTAGATGGACCACCTACAAATGCCATAATTCTAGCACCTGATCCAGGAACACAAACCCCCAAGAGACTAGCAGCAACACTTAATGCAACTCCAGTACACCTTGATGGACGTTTATCAGCTGGAACAGGCCAAGGGTCCTTTTGCAGTTCTTCAATTACCTACAGAAAAAGGAAAACAGTGTCAACAGCGTAATGATGGAAAAGAATTTTAGTATGCCACTTGAGAGTCATAATTTTAGTGTTCCACATTTTGATGTGCTACAGAACTTTGCCAACTCCCTGACCAATGTATCATGGTTTTATAATCAAGCAGAGCTCTTAACTGAATTCAACACAAACTCGCACTCAGAAGCAGGCAACAGGAACCTAGCAATACTCTCTGCCGAGAGGCCATTCCTTGCGCCTGCGATCACACCTGTTGTGGGTTTAGTTTTCCCAGCAAAGAAACTCATTTGGTCCAGAATTTGCTCCTTTGTAACTTCTTTTGTCCCTTTGAACACATATGACTTTGGCAACAAGCCAAAACCCAATTCATGCACCTACATAAATTAAATCTCTGTATTAGTTGTTGACCAGTGCATTCAGCAATGGAGTATCAATATGAGAGATGATAATGACCTGAACATATGTCCCGAAGGTAATAAATCCAACAAGGGATTGATCTGGCAATAGTTCAATTGCTTGTGCTAAAGCAGACTTCAAATAGCCAATCTCCTCCTCAATCATACATGTATCAACAACAAAGAGGAAGACTGGAGGAGCCACAGGACCCGTTTCAGAAGTGGATTTGTACTCAACGGTGGTATATTGAGGAAACAGCTCAGCAGGGAGGTTGTTTTCTGAAATAGAGTTGTAATGTTGTGGGAAATGGTTGCGCTGAAAGCAGAACGGACAGACCCAAATCTTTGCAACAAAATCAACAACTGAGAAAGGGTTGAGAATCGAACGGCACATGCGACAACGGAGAGGGGCATAAGGAAGAACAGGAATGGAAGGATTTGGCTTTAGAGGAGTATAAATGGCAGAAACAGGAACCACACAGTTAGTAGCATCCTGCTTTGTGCCTGGTATAACATTCCATGTCATTCTTATCCCATCCTGGGTCTCAAGGTCCAGAAACTCAGACATCTTCTGTAATCAAGTGGCTATAGCGATAATTTCTTCAACAGAACCTCTGATTCACAACACTGCAGGCCTCTGCCAGCAGGAAACTCCCCAGCCTGTAATGTAACAGCCAATTCAACATTGGGTTAAATTGGAGAAAGCCAACACAACAGAGAAAAGAGAAGAAAATTGATATAAACAAATCAAATTAACTGGCATATAGACTACTGATTTACTGGCAGTATAGTCATTGCGAGCTTCTGAATTTTCAAACAACTGAAGCACCCACTCCAAGTTAAGATTAATGATGGAAGTGGTTCTACAATGAGTGTCAACTATTCCTGAACAAAAAAAAAATATTCCTGAACAGAATGTAAACCTTAGTCTATGAGAGATCCCTTTTAAAAATTTATATTACTATAAACAACAGTATTCAGAGCTGATAAGTGGAGGTTTCTACGAAGCCATCACCCCCTAAAGCTGTTTCCAACCACCGTTACCCAAAATACAAGACCCATTTCACATTTGGGTAGAGCTACAAGCAAAGGGTTCAATACCTATTTTTGGTCTTCTTCAACAATAAAACTCAAAAGAGAACCATTTCTGCAAATATGTCTCCCGAAGAGAGGATACTCAGATTTATGTTATACCTCTCCTCCAAAAATGGGTCTTCCAGGTACTCTGTTGGAGGCTGTAGGTATTGTGTTGGAGACCTATTTTGGGTTTGGATCTCCTCGACGAGAAGGTTGATCATGCATATATCATAAGGAATATATGTTGAGTCCCCCCCACAATTTATATATAAAAAAAGATACATCAACTGAGAAATAACTGAATTGTAGTATACTACAGTCTACAGCACAGCAGACCAGCTCGCAGAAGGTTGGATGGATTGGAGCACCAATCCCAGCAAGTAACTGAATTTGATTGCTCACAGCAATTTCCTCGCAGACCAAAACGCAAATCTCAGACACTGATTCAAGCAAGCTAGGGCTTACTTACCACCAGAAGACGAAATCAACCCACGCCCGTATGGATCTCCACTCCAACGAAGAGGACTGAGCGAACTCCACGGAAGCGCTGATGTAGTTCGCTTCGGTGGATTGGAAGGGGGGTTTGGGGGGTTTCGGAGGTGGTGTGAGGCTGGGGACTTGGGTGGGAGGCGTCGAGTGGACTCGCGCCGCCGCCGCGAGGGGAACGGATGGAGGGGGAGCCGGCAAGAAGCACTGAAGCAGACAGGGACGGCGATCGGTAGCCTCTGTAGTCTGGAGCCCTCTGCTCGCCGAGGGGGAGAGAAGTACCGGAAGTTTTGCCGACAACGAGGAGTTGCAATTGCAAACGGGGAGAGAATTCGTGACCTCCGAGTTCTCTTCGACAAATTTCAATATTTAACGTGAGTAAGCCTCGCAAGATTTGATATTCAACTCGGCCGTCTTTTAAAATTTGACATCGTGACTGAGAATTGCTTCCACGGATTTCAACCATTTTCTCTCTATTTTCTTTTTCGGTAATGTTTTCACCTCTCCCAGCCACTTGAACGGACCAAAGTACCCCTGGCCTAATAGAACACAGAGATCGATTTCTTTCTCTGTTTTCGTCGCGACTCGTCTCGTGAGCGAGACGGACGCATGGCCGCCCGTCCGCCGCCCATTCACCCGATGGGGAGCCCCGTCCGCCGGCGAGGAGCCCTCCGCCCGTCTGCCGCCCTTCCTCCTCCCCTCCTGGACCACCCTCCGCCACCAGACACGCTCGGCAGCAGCCAAGATCCAGCGTCGCCGCCCTCTAGTCTCGGCTCTAGCCATAGGCCTTGTGCTGCTCGTCGCCATGGCCGTCATCCTAGTGGTGACCCGCCGGGAGCTCGAGCACGAGACGCACGGGTTCAGTGAATCCAACGTGGTGGGGTGGGGCGCCTACGGCGCGGTCTACCGCGAGCGGCTCACCGACGGCACTACCGCCGCCATCAAGCGTCTGCGGCTGGTGCACCGGCAGCAGGGCAGCATAAGTTCCACATCGAGGTAAACCAATCAACTCCACCCTGCCCGGTGCTGGTGCACGTGCACACACACACGTCACCTTCAGCTCACGCCATCGTCCACGCGTTTAATCAGGCTAGGGATACTTTGGTCCTTTTAGGTGGTGGGGGAGAGGTGTGTAAGGAAAATGGACCATTGGCCCATTTACTTTGGATTTTGGTGTTTGATGACCAACACAATCAAATTAAACTAATGAATTTGCAAGTGATTGTTTTGTAGTTCAATAGGATGCAAGACGTGACTTGAACGAATACGATGTGATGATCCGATGATCAACACCATAAGCAAGACCTTAAAAAGCACAACAGAAGACCCAAGATATCAAGCAAAGTCTAAGCACAAAGATAGAAACCAAGCTGGACGCAAGATCGCGAAGAAATGAGCTCACGGAGGTGACCGGACGCTGGACAGCTCACAGAGGTGACCGGACGCTAGACCAGATGCCGAACCGGACGCTGGACCGGACGTTGGACAGCTCACAGAGGTGACCGAACGCTGCACCGGAGCTGAGCAGCAAAGTGACCGGACGCTAAATGCCAGAGTCCGGTCAACATCAGTAAGGTTCCAAAGAGCCGTTTTCGTGACCGGACGCGTCCGGTCAGTGCTGACCGGACGCTGGTCAGAGTCCGGTTAGTAGCAGAAAAGCGGGATTCCATCCCTAACGGCTACTTTCTTAGTGGGGCTTATAAATAGACCCCCCAACCGACCATTTGACATGAGTGGAGCTGAGGAAACATATCTAGGGTCTTGATACACCATTTTAGTGATCTTCACTTGCATAGTGCTTAGTGTTTCATCAGGTGATTAGCGTAGGTGCTTTGCGAAGTGCTTAGGTTGATTAGACCAACGCTTATGCGCTTGCTCTAAGTTTATGCCTTGTGTTTAGTGAGGTTTGCATATCTCTTACCACTCGGTGCTTGCGCGCACCATTGTTGTACATCGGAGGGGCTTGTAGTTTTGTGAGATCACACCAACCGCGTTTGTGGTGTGGCCGCTACCGTGTACCGGAGGGAACAAGGCCCGCGGTGTTTCGGCCGGAAGCTTGATAATAAAGACGGCGGGGAGCATCCGGGAGAGGCTTGCCGGAAGACACGTCGAAGACCCACTTGCGCGTGGGGAAGGCCCGAGGCTATCCATAGAGTTACCCGACCGGGAGCTTGGCCCTTGCGAGGGATTCCTTGCAAGGGGCTCCAACGAGGACTAGGGGAAGCTTGCTTGCTTCTTGATACCTTGGTAAAAATATCAGAGTCGTCGACGGGAGTTTGCATATCTCTATCTTGATCTTTAGTTTCCGCATTTACATTGATTGCATTACTTCTTTTGCGGTAGAGATAGCAACATACTAGCAAAACCGTACTGCACATTTAGATAATTTATCTTTTGCATAGGTTTTGCTAAGGTTAGAAAAAGAGGCCATAGTTTAGAGTTAGAATTTTAATTTGCCTAATTCACCCCCCCCCCCCTCTTAGGCATCATGGTCCCCTACAAGTGGTATCAGAGCAGGTTGGCTCAATTTAGACTTTTATCTTAACCGCCGTTGAGCCGACGCTATTTAGAGTGCTTGGGATGGATACCTCTAGGCCTCCGTATTTTGACAGCACTAACTTCCCCTATTATAAAGCTAGAATGGCTTGCTACCTTGAGGCGGTTGATTTAGGAGTTTGGAGAGTCACTCGTGACGGGATGAAACCCATTAAAAATCCCGATAAACCCACAAAGAGTGAAGAAAAGAAAATACATTTCAATGCTAGAGCTAAGAATTGCTTTTTTGAATCTTTTAGCATGGATGTGTTTAACCAAGTATTCACTTTAAATACGGCACATGAAATTTGGTTAAAACTCCAAGAGCTCCATGATGGCACATCTAATGTCCATGAGCAAAAATATTATCTAGCTAAACAAAATTATGATTCCTTTACAATGAATGATGATGAGCTTGTTCGTGATATGCATTCTCATTTGAATCTAATTATCAATGAGCTCCATTCAGTAGGATTAACAAAGCTAGACGATGCGGACATCGTGAGGAAGATCATCTCCGTGCTACCACAAAAGAAATATGCAAGCATCATCACTATCCTTCACAACATGGAGGACTTGAGCACCATGACCCCGGGCATAGTTATTGGCAAGATAGTGGCATTTGAAATGTCACGTAAGATGGGTCAAGACGAAGCCTCTTTATCGAGCAAAGGCAAAGCTCTCGCATGTAGCAAGAAAAAGAAGATAAAGGGCAAGCAAGTTGAGACAAGCTCAAGCTCAAGCTCCTCAAGTGAAGATGAAGAAGAAGATGAGGACGATGATGATGATGATGATGAAGATTTAAGTGAAAATGATCAATCTTCCTCCTCCACCTCTGATCTTGATGAAGAATCAATCAAACTAATCAACAAGGTGGAGAAGATGATCCAAAGGCTCAATGTCAAGGATGTGCCCATCCAAATTTAAGATCTCATTTTCACCAATCAAAGAAATGAGCAAAGAAAGAGAGGATGCTATGGATACGGCGAGTTGGGGCACTTTATGGAAGTTTATCCAAACAAGCCCACACCCAAGATAAAGAAGGCATGCAAGAACCAAGCCCTCACATCAATAAGGTCATGGGATGATTCTTCAAGTGAAGAAGAACACCATCACAAGAGGCGAGGGCGCAAGCACTCATCATCAAACTCTTCTCGTATGTGCCTTATGGCACGAGGTAACGAAAGCCCATCCTCTAGTGAGAGTGATAGTGATGATGAAATGCCTTCTTATGATGAAATTGTGCAACAAAATCTTAATTATGCTAAAGTTTGCACTAGTCAACAAAAGAAGCTCAAAAACTTAAAAGTAAAGCTAGATAGTTCACAAGAAGCATACAAAACTTTGCTTGAACAATATGAGAACTTTGCTAATCTCAATGTTGAACTATCTACTAAAATTGAGCAACTTGAGGCTAGTGCAACAACAAATGCATGCACAATCAATAATGAGCAACTTGTAAAGAAAAATGAAAAATTAAAAGAAAAGTTAGCTAGCTCACAAGATGCTTATAAATGTTTGCTTGCTAAAATGAAAACCATGTGCAAACATTGTGATGAGCTAACTAATAAAGTTGTTAATCCTGAAGCCGTTAGTACAACCCCCACCAAGGCATCCAAAAAGAAAAGTTCTATCTTTAACATGTCTAAAAAGGATGTCTCTACTTCTTGTGATGATTTATGTTTAGACTCATCTTTGTGCAACCAAGTTTATGTTGAGAAAGTTGTTGTAGATACATGCACACAAAAGGTTGCAAAGGAGAATGGGCAACTCAAGCAAGAAGTAGCTCGCCTCACCAAGGACTTGACTCAAGTAAAAGGCAAGGCGAAGCAAGCCCAACTTCATCAAGATAACACTGTCAAGGGAGTGAAGAAGCTTGATAAAGGACAAACCGTGGTTTGCTACATGTGCCACAAGGAAGGTCACAAGTCCTATGAGTGCAAGGTGAAGAATGGGGGAGAAGCAAAGAAGAAAGAGAAGAAGCAAACAAGCAAGCTCTCCAACACCTACACCAACAAGGTGGACAAGAAGGCCTCCACACCATACTTGTTAAAGAAGAAGAAAAATGATAAGGTGGTGGCCATCAATGTCAACAAGCAAACCAACAATGAGGCCAAACGCTTTTGGGTGCCAAAGGAAATCATTTCCAACATGAAGAGCACCAAGAAGGTTTGGATCCCGAAAGGGAAGTGAGAAGTTCGATGGACTTCGGGGAATTTGGAGACTTGGCAAAGTATGGGTGCATTTCATGGGGTGTATTATGATGGACAAAATCATTGCCAAGTGGGTTAGTGAATACTATGGACCCAAATTCCCCTTCCCTTGTTAGGTAACTAGATTCAATTTCCTTCAAGTTGTATCAATTTGCATTTCCTACAAGTGGTGTTTCTTATAAATTGGTATCTTTAAGCATCTAGTTACTTTTCATGCCTATGTTTGCATTTGCATGCTTAGATCTTTTGTCATGCATACACTAGGTATATCTTATGGTAGGCTTGCTCGGTTTCATTCTTAACCCTTGGAGCAAACCTACATGGTTTAAAATTGTTTAGGAGCACGACACATAGCTTGTTTTTCGATTGTTCGTCTAATATGTGCCAAAGTCCAAATTATAGATAATTTCTCCTGAATATTGCCTTCGAAAATGACTCTCACATTCATGTGATGTCATCTTTCAAGTGGTATTTTTTATTCTAAAAATCAATGTGCAAGTTTCCTACAAGTATTCCATACTTGTGTGCACAAATTTAGGGGGAGGTTACTCTATAAGTTGGATGCTTTGAGACTAACACCTTTTTCAAGCTTATCATGTGTGTAGTAGTCTCATGGCAAGGAAAATGGAGTCCCTGGAGTTAAGCATCATACTTTAAATATCCACCACCTATTGCATGTGGTAGAAATCAAATTGGTTTCTACATGTGGTATTTCTAAACCGATATCATTATGTTGATTTCATTTTGATATTCATCTGCTTTCTCCATACATTATATAGATTAAATTCCCTTGAGCAATACTTTGCCAATTATGCATATGCTTTGCCTTCTACCATATGTATGCATATATTTAGGGGGAGCTTAGTCTATATAATATGAGAGTCAAATTTTGTGACCTATTCCTCTTTACATACAAAGGATCACAAAGTTTGACCCTCCCTTGTGTTACTAATGTCTTCCTTTTCGGTGTTTGATTCCAAAGGGGGAGAACTTTGAGGACCAAAAGCGAGCATTAATTTGTAGGACCAAAAGCTAGATCATAATAATTTACAAGTGGTAATGGTATATAAGTGGTGTCTACAAGTGGTAATGGTCCGCGAAAGAGAGGATAGTGGATTATGGATTGCCTATGTAATGGGGAGAATTTGCAGAAAGTAAGGCTTAAATCCATAATGCCACATGGGGACATTTGCAAGGGCAAGATAAGTTTTTATGTAGTATCTTTTAGTCTTACAAGTAGTATCTTTTAGCA